TGGCATTATGGGTTTAGGTTTTCTTAATTTTGTGCTAGTAAAACTTCTTTTCATGGTTTCCTGAAGAATATTTTATGATCGATTTTTGAAAGACCTAACATAACATTCAAATCACATATAATTAGGTAGGGACTATGGCTAATTGTTATTGAAGTTAATTCTCATTGGTCGGATTCTTATAATAGCCTGCCGAAGTTTATTAATGTTTGTGACTCCAGATCCTGAGTACTCCTGTGTGGTCCGCAAATCAATAACTTGGAGATCATTATCTACTCACCGCTATTGTCCTTATACAGAAAGGATCCTCTCTTGTGTCGCGACTATAATTCACTTCGTTCAGCTAATTGTTTGAATTAATTAAATCATTTACGGGGAGATTTATTTCATTTTATTAAATTAACTAGAGAAAAAATCAAAGATACAATTGGTATAAATAAAAGATAAAAATCATCATGCATGGTAAATAAATGACACCAGTTTCAAATAAATGGTAATGGTTTCTTTGTAATATAATAAAATATATGAACCGACATATGTTCGAAGAATGTCTCCTGAACGTGTTCGTGAATACAGTTGCGAAACTTGCTGGGCAGGGCGGAAGGAGTGCACTGATGGAAATATAGTCCTCATATACCAGTTGTGATCAACCTGTAGCTATGGAAACATAAATTGTTTATATCTTTTGCTTATTAATTGTATGAACATCTAGAAAAGGTTACAGACAGTGTGTTCCCGTTACAGTGATTGGTGATACTACATAAAAATATTCGATACATTTACCGGCATTCGTTCCAATAGGCCCTTGAATCCGAAAAAAATGATATACAATATCAAACGAAATTGATGTTACTTATTGTTGCCTTTTTAATTTTTTGATTACTTTAAAAATTCGTTTTGTCGGATTTTTTGATGTGCGAAAAATATCATCTCAGTTTTTCCCTAAAAAATATTTATCTCCATATCTACAAAATATAATGTTTTTTCTAAATCAGCCCGGTATCTTGAGTAAAGATTTTTTTTTAAATATTACTTCTTTCGTAGGATGGAATTAGTAATTTTGACAAAAGGATTTTTTACTGGAAATTACTAATAAGAGGTTCTGAAGATGGCGAAATTCTCTCCAAAACGTTAACAATATCATAATTGTTTGTGACAGTTTTTTTTGTTTTCTCCTTCCTCGCCGTTCAGGCTATACGGGTTTTACCGAGTTAGGGGTGGAGGCGGGGGATTTATGCTAGAGTTAAAAGCCTTCCTCCTTCCCCGCCACTGGGACACAAGTTCGTACTTATTTTATAGAAGACTTCGGTTATCAGGTTACTGGGCAACGCACGGTGCTGCGCACATGCGTAAGCTCGCTCGGCCACACAGTAGCACGAGTAAGGGAAAACTCGCGACATCGGCTAAATCTATTTTTTTTCAACTTCAAAAACTAGATAAATTGTTTTATTGATACCTTCTGGAATTCGTGATAATATTTTCAGTTGGCAGAATATACATTATTGAACAGTTCATATAAAAAAATAATAAATTTAGTCGATGTAGCGAGTTTTCCCTTACTCGTCCCATTATGGGCCATTCCATTCCTATAATTATTGTGACTAATATAGAGAAGTTTAGATATAAAAAGACTTTCCTGAAATTTGAACGTTCCCCTTCTCCCTCTCTTGGCTATAAGTTCTCCCAAGCAAAAATATTTATTATCTTAGTTTTTCAATTTGAAATAAGAGATTTATTTATTTATTAAAAAGGGGCACCGCCCAGTACCCCAAATGGTCTCGGTATATTACTGGGGTTGACATTAGACTATGACTTTACACAGACAAACACAGACACGTATGTTTTTATTCTCGGCTGTTTAATAGTTTATATAATTTTTATTAATCTTGAGATTCGTTCCTGTTCTTATCGCTTGAAATTAAACTTTAGATTAGATTTGGTTTTTTAAATAATTTAATGTTGTAAAAGTAAATTTTCAACGATTGTCTGTACAATTTCGTAACTAGTTTCATTTAAATTTAATTTAATATTGTTTTTAATTTTATTATCTATTACATATTTTCTCTATTTATCTGTTTTTTTTTATCACTCTATGAGATGAATATGAGTGCAATAAAGTCTCGAAACGTCGCCAAAATATATCCTCAAGATGCCCAGAGAAAATAATAAAATCCTTAAACGATTGTAAAGACTGTCGATTTGTCCATTATCAGTTAGTGAAATAGTTGACAATTTCTCTCTTAAATGAAGGTTCTGGTTCATTAAATGTTCTTTATTGCTCCATTTAATTCGCCAATTACTCTCAAGTACTTAATAGATCTGATGGAAATAATTCGCTTCTCCTTGTAGGCACAAGTCAAGCAGCGTATTTTTACTTTCTCTTAATATAATTATTTACTTACTGCTATAATATTACAAGATGAAAATATTTGCCATATTTCTCACTGTTTTAATATATTCAATACGCTATATTTAATATGTTATTTTTGATAAAAATCATAAAGATTTTATTCACTTATATTTTCGCATCAGCTGATTCCTTTATACAATTTATCTGGAAGAAAACATGATAAATATTAACGAAATAATATGAGTGCCCTGTTTTCAATCAACAATTATTTTAGAACGTGTGAAGTGTGATCACTTCTTGGATTATTTGTATCTTGTTTTATTTATAAGTCTTCATATCTTCGTAGTATCATGAAATATACTTACAGAAACTTGAATAAGTATTCCTAGTCTTATTTTTTATGCTTCATACCGTGTTATTATTTAAAGGATTTTTGGCCAGAAATCACCAAATAGAATGGGAAATCTCTTGTTGATCCTCTAGAAAAGAAGAGACAGCCCTCTGCAGATTACGAATTGGACATTGTGAGTTCTCGGACGCCTATCTACTAACAGGACCTGATCCTCCGACCTGTGAGAGCTACAATGTCCAAGGAACTGTAAAACACATAGACTGTCCTACACTAAAAAAAATATATCTGAGAATGTTTCGATATAGCACTAAACCTAAATGACAACGTAAAGACTGTCAAAAAAATATTATAATGCCTTTATGTGAAACGGTGAAACTCTGTAATAGAATTTAATTAGAAGGTGTTGTCAATGACCCTGCAGGGTAGAGGCAACAAAAAAAAACTAAATAAATAAACATTTTTACAAATAAACTTTGTTTTTAGGCAATTATGTTTATTAAAATACATCAAATATCATGGAAAAGCAAGAAATAAAATAGTCCGTGGGACAGACCCCCTTCTATCGAATTATTAACATCCGCCGGAAATTTCGTAAATAGTTTCATCTCATCGTAACCTACAACTATTATTTTTACGAAAACTCTTGGAATTGGGGCGTTTTCAATCTGGAGATCCTCAAATCAGGAGGGGAGCAAACTTTGTCTATTTAATTAGGTACCAAAAACTCGTAAATACCCATTTGCCTTCTTCTAGGATCGTAAGATAATTTGATCAAAAAATCGATAAGAAAAGGTGGCCTACAAAAATATTGGATCGTTTGTCCTATATAAACTCGTTATTTTGAATATTTGGGGGTGTAGGTCACTCCAAACGGCTCAATATTTTTGAAGGTCACCTTTTTTTCTCGATTTTGTTACAAAATTACCTTACTATTCAAGTAGAAAGCAAATGTGCATTTACGAGTTTTTAGTACCTAATTAAATAGGCAATGTGTGCCCCCCTCCTGTTTGAAAATGCCAAAGTTCCAAGAGTTTTCGTAAATAAAATAGTTGTAGGAAACAATGAAATGAAAGTATTTATGAAGTTTCAGGTGGATGTTAGTAATTCGATAAAGCTTTGCAACAATTAATTGTAAGTCATTCTTGCTAAAAACAAGGGTACTTATAGGTGACTGGATAGAAAATCACATCATTTATTTACACTGCTCCAGGCGAATCTCAATTTTTTCCACATAAATCTCAATTTAATTAATAAGGACTTGGAGCTTATTCAACGAAGAAATTTTTCAGAAAAATCGCATATAATTTATGATTTTTTTAAAAACAGAAATTAGCTTAGTTTAGCAGAAGTCCTCTTTAAATTGTTTTAATAATAACAAACTCAATTTCCATTTGAAGCGACTTTTGTCTTGTTCACAGCGAAGTAATTGTTAATAATTTAAATTAAATAATTCTTTAGTTATCGCTTCGTATTTAACAAAAAGCATGATTTACTTTAAAAACCAAAAAAAAACATAGATATACTACTTTCCTGCGTAAATTTGGTCTATTGTTTATAGAAATTTTTTTGTAGCTCACTTCTCTGTAATTACGAGGTATATCAATCTGCATATTCTTTTTAAAAATAATTTTAACCTTACGATAAATTATATATTTTTAATATAAACGAAATTTCTTGATTATTGGATGATTTTTGTTTAAACATCATACAAATTTAGTGTAAATGCATGGTAGGTAATTTAATTTTAAAATTATATAATTAATATTTTGAACTATATAAAAATTATTTATAAATATTTAAGTTACAAAAAACATTAAGTTACAAAATGGTGTTTTAAAATTGAAATATCTTAATGTTCTATTGACTAATTACATTTTTTTACATTTTAAATAAATACTCGTCACTAGCGGATCCAGGATTTAATTTTGGAGGAGGCATCAGCTCAAAAGATTTTTTTTTCATATACATGTAACTATAATTAATCAGAAAAAAAAGAAAGAAATTAACTACCTATATGAAATGGTGTTTTAAGTGGTTCTTGAAGTCCTATTAAATGTAATTACACGAACAAGAATACGTTAAGAGATAGTTTTGAATATTTTTTTTCTGTAAAACATTGGTTATATTTTACCATTTGGGGGGAGGCTTCAGCCCGAAAGCCTCCCCACGTAGATCCGCCTGTGATACTCATTAAGCATACTCATTTTGATGACTGACCAATAATCATTTAAATAATAAATTAATAAATATTTATTGATTATTCTCATTGATTTACTAATCTACTGATATTCCCTGTTCCAGTAAACTGCTCGGAGGTGGAATCGAGTCGATGTCCATTACCGAGGTGTTCGGGGAGTTCCGGACCGGCAAGACCCAGATGTCCCACACATTCTGCATCACCGCTCAGATCCCCAACAACAGAGGGTACAGCGGCGGTAAAGTCATCTTCTTGGACACCGAGAACACCTTGTATCCTTTTTTACACAGAGTTATTAATCTGAATCCAAATATGTTCTTCAATTATAATCAGATTATGGAAATCACATTTCGTAAAAAGATTAACAAAAAACCTGATATCCATTTATTTCATTAAAAATAAATGTTGGAAACATTTTCAAAAATGGAAAAATTTCCAATTACTTGCTATTTAATGAATATTTAAAAATGTAAAATATAGTTCTTGAAATTAAATTTACATTCTTTAAAATAATTTTAATTTATGACTTTTCTACCGGTAATAGGCAAGGGAAGTATTGTATCGCGCAAATTTCCCGATGTGCGGTTTTTAACGTTTCAGAACCCCCTCATCCGAAAAACACTGTGTCAAGATTATCTCGAAACAAGTGGACGATTTAGTTGCTTATGTTTTTTCGCTTTGTAAGGCTATCCAACAAAAATTCCAAAAACACTGATTTTAGATATTTTCTCGTTTTCACTGCTTTAATTCATCAAATAAATCGTATTCTAATGATTCCTCTGATTAGCTGTTCAAGAAAATAATTCTAATCCGGTTTTATTTTATTTTAAATTTATACATTTACAATTGTTTAAATTTGTCTAAACTCGGAATATTTATGGAATGGACACACTAGATATTTTTTATTTTTCTAGCTCCGTGAATCCATCTGGGGTACTCAGAGATGCAGGGAGACTGCTTGCCATGCCCTGGCTGCTTCACACTCGATAGAGGCGACATGCCTTAGTATGACTCACAGGAGTGGCATCGCCTATACTTGATGAGATTGGGTCATAGCCAAAGCTTTTCAGCCCATTCTCCTATATCGGGCTTATATCTCCCTAAGGGTGAATTTAATATTATAGTGTCCCCCCCAATGGTCGAAATTCATTTGAGAATATTTGAAAATTTGAGGAAAACCATAAATGAATTGGCATATTCCCAATATATTTTTACTAGTCCTATATATTCGCGAATTCACTAACGGATCCAGGATTTAATTTTGGGTGATCTTTAGCCCAAAATTTTTTTTTTATATATATAACGGTAATTACTTTGGAAGAAACAGAAAGAAATTATGTGTAAATGGTGTATAAGTGACTCTTAAAGTCCTGTTAAATTTAATTAAATGTAAAACAATTCATTTAGACATGTTTCATAAGACATGTTTCATAAGACATGTCATCTTTTCATAAGACATGTTTATATTTCACCATTTGGGGGATGTTCAGTCCGAAAGCCACCTACGAATATACTCCAGTGAGTACGTTTATTTTTATATTTACTTACCAAAGAAATCAGTGAAGTATCATTGTGTAATTTTTGAGTTATAGACAATTTTTTTTTTATCTTTTCTTTATTGAATATTAATACATTCTGCCACATTAAAGGGCATTAATATTAAGGCTACATGATTCATTCACACAATATGTACATACAAATAGTCAAATAAAATTGGGAATTCACCGTAAAGTTAAAAAAAAAAAAAATATATATTTGTACCCCTTTGCTCACTAGGTGAAAATTTGAGGCCAAAGATTTTTATTTTGACTTTATCCTTCGTCTTAAACCCGTGACATCCTGTCCTACAGTATCCTTTAATAATACTCCATTTATCCCTGTAGAACAAATCTGATACCTAGGACTTCATCTGGACAAGCGTCTTGATTGGAATCCTCATACAAGACTAAAACGACAAGAAACCACTCGACGTTTCCGATTACTCCAGCACTTACTATACAAACGCTCTAAATTTTCACTTAATTAAAAAATACTCATATATACATGACTATAATAAGGCCTATTTGGACTTTCCGAAGCTTTGGAGCTCCACTGAACCATCGAATTTTTCTCATATCCAATCCTTACAATCACAAATTCTTCGTAAAATCCTCAATGCTCTTTATTCTATCACAAAAAAAAAATCGTCCATAACGCTCTTAGTGAACCATATGCTTCCAGTTTGGTCCAATCCTGATACCTACTCTTCCATAATAAAATTCAGAACCATCCGCAACCCTATTGTTTCTAACCTTCCTTTTTTTCGATCCTAGATAACCCTCCAAGGTGTCAAAAAGCGTTTTCATGTCATTATATTTCAGTGTACACATTTACTAGATGATTTATATTCTAATACAGTTGTAAATATGAATAAATAAATACAATTTTTGTTTTCGATTGCTATGAAAATTCATATTTGAGGGTTTTTCCAAATGCGAAAGACCAATCTCAATTTTGTTACTCGTTCAACAAATATTTGAAACCGTTATGTGCCGGAACTATAGGGGTATTTGTGTACAGAGTTCAATATCGAGAAATGAAATATTGAAATGTGATTTTTTTTATTTCCTTTACCATTTTACTGGTCATTTCCGGCATGAGGGGAGGGGAGAGGGCATGGATATTCTTGAGGCATAAACAAACTTATTTTATCCATAGTGGAAAGGTCGTATATTCCATTGATCTATGAAAAATAAATTTAAACAACTCAGTGTGGATTCGAATAAGTCGATCATTACTGTCTCAAATTCGGATAATTTTTTTCAAACTTCCTTAACTACCGTAGCATAGTGTGTGGTGCCATGTTCACGATAGTGTCAGTACAACACGCCCTCAGTGAGTTTAGTGTCAGACATTCAATCCGCCACTCTTGAACAATATGCCCGTACGTTATAAGGCCAGGTCACAGGGTTATCAAGTTATGCTATTATATCCACAGTCCATATTTATTTTCTTTACTAACTGTAAAGTAAAAATATACTTTAACTAAAGTATTCTTTTTTTTTACCAACTTAATAATATTTAAAAAAAAATATATGATTCGTAAATATTTATACGATGTCGTTATGATTCGACTTTAGTGATAATCAATAACCATTCCTTATATTTAGTGGCTGATTTGCTTCCACAACAATCTTCATATTAACAGATATTAACTGCAGAGGACTAATTCTTAATCATAATTATTGTTTAAAAGTGTTGCAGATTATTATTTAATGATTTATTTTTTGCAAAAAATGATACATCGAAAATACCTAGTAGATCCTTTAAAGATTTTCGGTAAAGCATTGGATGAAATTCTTTATTTTATTTTTTGTAGAGAATTTAATCATATTAGAACTGTGTATGTAGATAAACGTATACTTTTTGAGTTATACATAAATAAAATTGTGTTTCTTTATAATGTTTTTTCCCGCTTTTAATTCGCGAAATATAATTGGGAATGTACCGTATTTGTAAATTTAAAGAAGGAAAAGACTTTAGGTTTCATCATTAAAGCCGTTTCAAATTTTGACCCAAATTATAATTTTTAATACATACATATGTAATGCATTGTAATAAAATTAATTGCCTAGACACATATTTTATAAATATAAAAATGATGATTTTATAAATATTAATCACGTAAAGTGGTTATGAAATTGTTTTTTCTCCCAGGTCTCCGTCATAGGAATTGATATTTATATGTAAGTGACAAACTTGATGTTTGTTGCTAAAATTTACGTTTAAAAGTTAAATTAAGAATTATACTAATTGCTTCAATTATTTTCATGAAAACGTAATTATTAGGGCTAGAAAAATAAAGTTTGCCACTTATAAATACGTATCAATTCCTATGAAAGGTATCTGGGAGAAAAACACGATTTCATAACTTTATATAGGCCGAACGGCCCAATATTTTTGTAGGCCACCATTTTTCTCGATCTTGTGATCAAATAATCTTACGATCCAAATGAAAAAACAAATTGGTATTTTCGAATTTTTAGTACCTAATTAAATAATGAGATATTTAAATATATTTGTTACAATAAATTATACTAAAACTTAATATACTAACAGAATACTTAATTAGGTTAAAAATATAAATGTAGAAATAAGTTGAGAGTTGCCCAGTTGACAGAGAGACTGTTTCACCGCTTGGATTGGTGGAGGCAGCTACAAGTGGAAGGGCAGCACCTCTGTAAATTTTTGACCTGAACTTGACCTCATCTTGGCTAGATCAATATTCTGCAATAACCTTCGATGACCTTCCCCTTTTATGGAAACTGTTTATTTAAATAATATCGATGATAGCAACTGGAAATAAGACAGATTATAATGTAATGGAATGTGGTTATCGTCGATTTATTGCATTTTTGTATGTTTGTATTTCGACCATATTTACAGATGAAACTATTAGTGCCCATTCCTTCTGCCAAGGTCGATGGCGCATGAACCTTCTCCCTCCCCTCCTCAAGATATTTTATTGCTCTCCTCTTCTTAAAAACATTAGAAATTAAAGTGCCGTAAATCATATACAATTAAACTTGCTAAGGTTTGTTCCATATATTCCATTTGTCTTGTTTGAAACTATTCAATCCGAAAATTCATAACTCTGTTGAACTATTATAACATAACTAGTGTTGTCCAAATGCAAGACCGATACGAGTCTTCGTCTTGCAAACTCAGTCTTGTCATGGTCTTGGTCGTGCGGAAGAGTCTCGCGATAGTCTTGCAGTTATTTATTACCTTATTTTTATAGAGATATTACTGTAATTTTTTTATATAGAAGAAACCTAATAGGCCCGAATGGAAAATTAGAAGAGTTAAACGCAAAGAAATGTTGGTTATACCAATTATTAACATATAGTAACTAAGATTGTCAAGTATTAGTAACTATTTTGCCATAATTTTTATTCAAAAAATCGATTTATTTTACCAACCCTGGTCTTGGTCTTGCAACAGTTAGGCGGCCTTGGTCTTGATGTTGCAAAGTGCAAGATCAAAACCGATTTAGGGCAACACTACGTTGAAATTTGTCCCTCTCAAAAATTGCGATGGCGCAACTTTTGGCAAAATCCCCTTGTGGGCACCCCTGGTTCGTGGTATAGACACCTTTTTATCAAATTATTAACATTCGCCTGAAACGTCGTAAATAGCTTCTTCTTTTAGTAACCTAAATTTTTTTATTTAGTAATTTTTTTGGAAATGGGGCGTTTTCAAACTCTTGATTGGCAAACTTTATCAATTTAATTAGATACTAAAAACTCGTAAATACCAATTTGCTTTCCAATTGAATCGTAAGATAATTTGAGCACAAAATCAAGCAATTAGATGGCCTTCAAAAATATTGAGCCGTTTGGCGTGACCTACACTCCCAAAATGTCAAAATAACGAGGTTACATAGGCCAAACGGACCAATAATTTTGTAGGCCACCTTTTTTCTCGATTTTATGATCAAATTATATAACGACACATGTGGAAAGCAAATGAGTATTTACGAGTTTTTAGTATCTAGACAAAGTTTGCCGACCTCCAGATTGAAAATGCCCCATTTCCAAAAATGTTTGTAAAGAAATTACTTGTATCTTAATAAGAGCTATTCACGAAGTTTCAGACGGATGTTAATAATTTGATAAAAGGGGTATGTACCACGGACTGTATGAATGTAACTGTACTGTATGTACGTGCATCAAAATTATACAATCTCCGTTATATGTATATATCAAAAATAATAGAATAAAGTTCACAGTGTTCTGATTTCTCAGAGAATAAATTCATAATTTTATCTATAATTTATCCATAATTTTAAATAAAACAAATAATATATAGCAGATCACTTTCTTTTCTTTCTTTTTTTTTTTTTTACTATGAACATCAGCTGACGGATAAAACATTACTTCAAGAATCTCAGAATAAATTTGATTCTTAACTGTGTGTTGAGTGTCTTAAAGTGATGTACTCTATAATTGGTGATTTTATACTGTTAATATTACCTTTGTTTTATTCTTTTATCATTTATGTTTTTGTTTTTTTTCTGTTCTGTTTTATGCCTGGTCTGGTCAACTAGTTAGGTATTTACAGCGTTATTGCTTTCTTTTTTTGTTGTAATATTCTTGTTTATATTATTAATATTGTAATATCCTTGACGAAAATTAAGTCGACCGGATCGGTTGAGACCTATCTGCGACAGGTTCAACCTGGACCAGAATGCCGTCTTGGACAACATCCTCTACGCCAGAGCTTACACTTCCGACCAGCAGATGGAGATCCTCGACTATGTGGCAGCCAAGTTCCACGAGGAAGGGGGCATATTTAAATTATTGGTAAGCCATTCCATTTTATAAACTAATTCCATGTATTTCCGCCACGTTTCGGGCTATCCGCTGTTTTAAGGAGGGTATAAGGTTCAGGAAACATCATGTGTATGTATTTAATATATTTCTGTTATACATATTTTTATTTGTATCTATTTAAAAATGTATGATTTATATATTTGATTACTAAAATATGCAAAAAGCTCGAAAAGAGACATTATGAATGGAACAACCTCACCTATAAAGCTATCAGGTTCTAACATATAAGTGGACAGTTAACTTGCCAACGTTTCGCTAATTCAGGTATCATCAAGACAGATCACATGTATGTAGAAAGAAAGAAGAAAAATAAAAAAATGTATATTGACATTTCATCAAGCCATCCAAAAACATACTCCAAAAAACATGAGTATGTTTTTGGATGGCTTTTTGAGATGTAAACACTTTTTTTCTCTCTTTCTTTCTGCATATATACTGAGAGCTTGTTTTTTCTAATTTGGTGATGCCTGAATTGGCAAAACGTTGGCAAGTTAACTGTCCACTCATATGTTAGAGCCTAGTTTGGATTGTATATATTTAATATGTATAATATAGAGCATATATTACACACCTCCTTGCTGTGATGAGATTGAGTTATTTATAATACCTTATTTCCTTTCCAAAGATATCATGTTAAGAAATTAATAAATTAATCTAGATGGTAGCAAGGAATATACTAAAAATCAAGTTCTATTAAAAAAAGACGGTTTATTTGTGATTTAAACCTATACATTAAGAATATTGCATCGAGGATGCTGTGTTGGACGACTAATCAATATATTATTGTACAGTCATTACAAATTTACATGAGAAGGTTTTGAATTACAATAATGTGAAAATGTGGAGGAGTCTTCAGGTACTATCTTCTGATCTGATTTTTTTAACTTGTCTATATGTGTTTAGGCATGCAAAAAACAAAATTTCTAACGCGGAGCTCCATGGGAAAACTTTTTTAAGCCAAAAAAAAATCAGATTTTTTCTATATGTTTTTGTTTTTTCACCTATAAATCCTAAATGATGCATCAAAGCAAAAACTGAACTCTTTAATAAATTAAAGAACGTTAAATTATGCATTGAAAGAGAACCTAAACCTAATAATTGAGTTAAATGGTATGGTAGAAAACTGCGGTCAACCAACAATGATTTTTACCATATTTGTCAAAAACCGAGTCAAATTACTATAAATGGTCCAATAGCTTGAAATACGTTTCTTAAGAAGTAAAACCTATAGAATCAAAGTTGTAGAGCATCAAATTTCGAGTCCACTGAGTATAAACTATTTTAACGTTGTTATAGATGAAAAATAGAATTTATAGTTTAATATACTGTTATAGTTCTGCGCATGCGCTTGATTTGAATACCCACATTTCACGTCGTGTCCCACAGTTTTACTATTTTTTAGTAGAATAAGTGCTCAGTTTTACTTTTTTTAAAAAAAACTAGTTAAGCAGACATCAAAACAACAACAATGGACTAACACCACAGTGAGTAGTGTTGTTATTTACTGTGTGTTGTTAGTGTTGTTACAGACAGTGAATTTAGTGATTTAGCGTCTATAGGCTTAATCTCTATAGTCATAACAGCTGACGGCTCCCCTCTCCAGTTGTGGCCCTGCCACGTAACTGGCTGATTCTCAGCCGGTGGTTCATCCATTGTAATAACACGCAGACGTAGTTTTATTTATTTATTTTTTTTTTCCCTTTCTTTTTTTTTTTATATGCGATATTACCACCAAGTAATGTCAACTAAGAGGTCCCATTCAGTTGGCTCTACCCCACGTAATTCACCGCCTAAACAGAAAACACGTCGTAGTAAGCGATTAACACCCCCCGGAACTCCTCCAGCGAACACTCAAGAATCTGTGTCTCAACCACTGCCAAGTACGTCTTCACAAGAAATGGAATCTCCATTTTTTACACCTAATCCATACCAGGTGCTTGAAAATGACAGGGAAGAAATGGAAGATGCACCTATACCTCGAGAACCACGCCCACCTCCTATCTTTGTCAAAAATTTGAGAAATTTCCAGTTGTTGTGTACTCAACTTAATAAAATCTGCCCAGGTAGCTATACATGCCTAAACAGAATAAATGATACAAAAATAATACCGGCCACACCTGAAGCGTACCGAAAAATCGTAAAATATTTAACAGACACAAATGCGGACTTTCACACATACCAGTTGAAACAGGAAAGAGCACTACGAGTTGTAATAAGAAATTTACACTCCTCAACCCCAATAGAAGTGATTAAAGAAGAGTTAACGGCGTTAGGGTTCAAAATACGTCAGATAACCAATGTTTTAAAAGAAAATAAAGAACAACCAGGTGTAAAGAATAAAATCCCATTGCCCTTATTTTTCGTCGATCTAGAGCCATCGCCTGGGATCGAAAAAATATACGATGTGAATAGAATTTTCTACACCAGCGTAAAGGTCGAAAAACCGTACCCAAAAAGAGAGTTCATCCAGTGCCATAATTGCCAAGCATATGGCCACACCAAGTCTTATTGCCACCACTTACCACGCTGCGTGAAATGTGGTAAAACACACAAGTCTGGCGAGTGTAATAAACCAATTACAGAACCAGCAGTCTGTGCCCTATGCCTGGAAGGCCATCCAGCCAACTACAAAGGCTGCCAAATTTATAAAAATCTTAAAGCGAGATATATGAAACCCAGGGACCCTGATGATACACCTAAACCAAGAAGAGGACCCGCTAAAATTGTGAACTCTAAGGTTTCTTTTGCCAAGCTACTTGGGGGTAGAGACCCGACTAATGTATGTGAGGCCCTGCCGCAAGAACAAACTCAACCCCAATCTCAATATCCTATCCCACCTAATGTACCTAATCAACAACAACCTCACCAACATCAAATCCAATATGTTCCTCCACCGCCTAATGCTACAGATCTAACCAGCTTATTGACATCCTTTCTTTCAGAATTTAAATCCCTTGTTACCCCACTGATATCACTTCTCACTAACCTAGTATCTCACCTTATCCCTCCTTTAAAAAATCCTTAAATGACTTCCATCAAACCCATATCCATTCTCCTTTGGAATGCGAATGGTGTTAGAAATCACATACACGAACTAACAGCCTTACTACAAGACAAGAACGTAGACGTAGCCCTAATAACGGAAACTCGACTGACTAAAAAACAGCTCCTAAAAATACCACAATACATAACTTACCGTACCGACCATCCTGACGGTAGAGCACATGCCGGTACTGCAGTCATTGTGCACCAATCCCTCTCCCATCACCTACTCCCACTGCCTACACACGATTTCCTACAATCCACCGCAGTCGTAATCAAAACCTTCTCCTTTCCTATTACCGTTGCATCAGCGTATTGCCCTCCAAACCAATCCATCTCCAATATCCAATTTAGTTCCTTCCTCATTTCCTTAGGACATCATTTCATCTTGGGTGCAGACTTAAACGCCAAGCATCAACAATGGGGTTCAAGAACCACGAATTCTCGTGGTCGAACATTGCTGTCTGTACTCAATTCCCAAAATTTTACCCTTCTTCCACCCAACTCACCTACCTACTGGCCCACTGATCCTAACCGTAATCCCGATATCCTCGATTTCTTTATCCATAATGGTTTAGGTGCTCTCAACCATTCCGTTGCCCGTCTTGACGAGCTTTCCTCAGACCACAGCCCATTAATACTCCAAGTATCACTAGCTCCTATTCCTAAACCCTCTCCTCCGTCCTTCATCAGAGGCCCAGTTAACTGGAAACTCTTTCATCAAATCCTCTCCGATAAAATTGACCTCAGAGTAACCCTGAAAACCTCTGAAGACCTGGACAATGCAGTACATTCCTTCACTACCAAAATTCAAGAAGCAGTCTGGACTGCTTCCTCCCCTGATCACTCCTCAAAAATCCTTAAGAAACATAATTTACCTCAACACCTCCTTGACCTAATCCACATAAAACGCCGTGCCAGATTATTATGGCAACGTACCAGACATCCAGCCGACCGCCACTCCTACAATTATCACTGTAAAAAATTAAAAAAAGAATTAGCCACCTTCAGATCCCAATCATTCAATTCCTACCTCACCACACTCTCTGCTCATGATAATTCCCTTTGGAATATCACCAGAAAAATCCTCAAATCCCATCATATTTCCCACCCTCTTCGACGAGATGATGGCTCCTGGGCAGCATCTGATGAAGATAAAGCCGAGGAATTTGCCAAACACCTTTCCTATACTTTCGCTCCTCATCCAGAATCCCATCCCAGCCACACAGTAAAAGTAGAAGAATCCCTCTCAATACCTATCCCACTCTCCTTACCACCTAAAGCTGTTAATCCCTCTGAGGTCAAATACCTTTTACGGAAAATCACACCTCGCAAATCTCCTGGATATGACCTTCTAACCCCACAGATCCTTCGACAACTTCCATCTAAAGCCATCATATTTCTTACATATATATACAATTGCATCCTACGAACTACCCACTTCCCTCTTTTATGGAAACATTCCACCATCGTCCTCTTCTTGAAACCAGGCAAACCTTCCAACAATACAGCATCCTATAGACCAATTAGCCTACTCCCAATCCTCTCAAAAATTTTTGAAAAGATCCTACTGAAACGAATCCTACCTATAATTGAATCCTATAACCTTCCTACTCATCAATTCGGATTTCGTTCCCAACATTCCACTGTCCAGCAAGGACTCCGAGTTGTTGACCATATATCCTCAACCCTAGAAAGCAAGCAGTATTGCTCGGGTGCATTTCTGGACATAGCGCAAGCTTTTGACCGGGTATGGCACGCCGGATTACTCTTCAAGCTTAAAATCCATCTACCACAGTCCTTATACCTAGTACTCCGATCCTATCTTTCCGACCGCTCCTTCCGAGTTCGCTGTGGCACCGAATTCTCCGACTGTTACTCAATTGAGGCTGGCGTTCCTCAAGGCAGCGTCTTGGGCCCCATCCTTT